GGGACAATTGTTCTACTCGGGCAGTAGGGAGATCTCGATCCAAGCTGGAACCCCAAAATGGTACGACTCTCAGTTGGGCATGCCATCGATAAGGGTCGAGCACAATACGTAAGTCTCTCATGGAAGCGAATCCCAGTAGAAGGTCACCAGGGAAAGTAATCTGGTCGACAACAAGGAAGGAAGCAGTAAAGTCTCTACCTTGGATAGAAAAAGTTAGGGAAGTCCGACCTCGGACACGCAGGTGAGAACCAGCTACTCCACTAAGGGAGGACACATGAGTCGGTTCTACGAGAAGGACATGTCGTAACTGCTTATCCCTAAACAAACTAGACCTGATAATATTGACTTGCGCACCTCCATGAACAAATGAACGGGCGCATTATGAACAGATGCTTGCACTATAGGGCCTATGGTTGCATTGGAAGTTATGTGCAAACAACAGGGTGGATTGTCATCAGAAAAGATTTGTTCCACTTCATCCCCAAAATCATCTACGTCAGAGACGTGTGCAGCAGCATCATCAGCAGGATTGTCATTCTCAAGACTGCTTAAGGCTTCAAAGGAATTGTGAACGGGGATGGTGTACTCATTATCACCTACTGTCACCATGGGACGGTTTGACTGGGGCGCTCGAATTCCCCTGAATTGGAAGAATGAGCCTGGTTCTGGTTAGTTTGAGAACCACGACGTCTGTTTCCTCTACGGGTTCTGCGGTTGGAACGGCCACGGAAAGACCTAGAGTACTGAAGGTTGTAGAGAGCATTGCACTCAGATGTGTCATGTCCATGTATTCTATGATAAGTACAGTAGGGAAGATCTGACTGATACTCATCATCAGTACGACGCCTCTTAGGGTAACTATCAGGACAATTAATTGTAATATGGCCACGGAAACCACAGTTGTAACAAGTCCGCTGACTATGGTTACTGAATGTACTATGAATACTACGAGGTTTATAATGACTCTGCACACTGGTCCTTGGTGATCGCTGAGATGGTTGACGACCACGATTTGTCGCTGTGGCACAAACAAGAGGTGGTGCAGACTGAGGCATAGGTGTGAAATTACTTTTAGATACATGGGAAAGTACCCTGGGGGCACAAGGAACGTACATGATTTAGGGCTGTAAATGGTTCCATCATCACATTTGGAGGATTAGCCTCATAAGTACGCACGGAAGCAGGCGGCATTAGTTCTTTGATTGCTCCAAAAGCTGATATTTTAGCAAACGATGCTGTGGATGGTTTATCCTCGTCAGGGACAAAAGCTGAGGACTGGACAGCATTGATAAATGATGATAAAAGTTTGTCTAATCTAACAGCAAATGCACTCAACGATTCATTAGTCATGGGTGTAGCATTCACTAGTTCCCTAAGAACGACATATGGATCAGCTGTTTTTACTGGTATGAGGAAAGAACGAATCAGTTCCTGATATTGTGACCACTTAGTAAGATTCCTGAAGTCTCGCATATCAAGGAGATCAACAACGTGAACAGCAGCAGGGGACCGATGAAGAGCTTCTTTAGCAAGTCTGATAAGACTTTCCTCTGAAGGAGGACCTTCAACTAGAGCATTAACACGAGAACGAATGGCAGTAAACCATGCTTCAAGACTATGTACATGGCCATTGAATAAAGGGAATCACGAGTAAAACTGTAGTGTCTCAGTGTCTGGGTCGGTCTGTCAGTCGCTAAGGAACTGTGAGGACTGATGACAGCAGCAGCAGTAGCCTGAGAGGTCTGAGTGTCGACATTCACTAAAGTATCACTTGACGGTATGTGAGACATAATGGCAAAGTAGCACGAGAACAAATAAGGCAAAAATAATGAACAATAAAAATGATACAAAATGCTAAAATTTAAATAAAAGAGATGCAACTAATTGTGCAGAAATAATAAAAAATCTAAGATACACTGCAAGAGGAAGGACAACTTAATGTAAAGGACTGCTGGACAAGATAAAAAAAAATACATTGAAATTGAAATTTACAAGTAAAAATATTACTGGAGGCTGAATTAAATGCAAAATGAGCTGTATGTACTCTTGCTAATAAAGAAATTAATTAATAAAACTGTAAATCATGTAAAAAGTATAAAATAAAATCACTAAATTGTATGCAACGAGAGATAACTGGGAAATTTAAATATTTTCTAAGAATGCATAAACAAAATTAAAATATAATGCAAAGACAACATCAGGAAAAATAATAAAATGAAAAACAAGACTCAAACAATAATGAACTGAGAATAATAATGTATAAAAATATCAATAAAAGAAAATAATTCACTGCAGAACAAGTGCAACAAAATAATTCACTGCAGAACAAGTGCAACAAAATAATTCACTGCAGAACAAGTGCAACAAAATAATTCACTGCAGAACAAGTGCAACAAAATTCACTGCAGAACAAGTGCAACAAAATAATTCACTGCAGAACAAGTGCAACAAAATAATTCACTGCAGAACAAGTGCAACAAAATAATTCACTGCAGAACAAGTGCAACAAAATAATTCACTGCACAACAAATTTCAACAAAATAATTCACTGCAGAACAAGTGCAACAAAATAATTCACTGCAGAACAAGTGCAACAAAATAATTCACTGCAGAACAAGTGCAACAAAATAATTCACTGCAGAAATAATCACTGCAGTAATAAAGTTACACTGGGAAAATGTTGGTTAAATAATAAAATAAAAATATAAAGAAAAACTGACTGAACACTTTAACTCTTAATTGTAAATTAGACAAAACAATTTACTTAGAGTAAATAAAACACTTTACGTTAAAAAGAAATTAAAATTACAGTAAGAGTGAATTTGTTCAAAGAAATATGAACAATATGAATAAAAATAAAACAAGAAGCAAAACTGGAAGTGTAACACTTACAAGTGGCGGGGCACACAACACTTACAAGTGGCGGGGCACACAACATTTACAAGTGGCGGGGCACACAACACTTACAAGTGGCGGGGCACACAACACTTACAAGTGGCGGGGCACACAACACTTACAAGTGGTGGGGCACAAAACACTTACAAGTGGCGGGGCACACAACACTTACAAGTGGCGGGGCACACAACACTTACAAGTGGCGGGGCACACAACACTTACAAGTGGCGGGGCACACAACACTTACAAGTGGTGGGACACACAACACTTACAAGTGGTGGGGCACACAACATTTACAAGTGGCGGGCACACAACACTTACAAGTGGCGGGGCACACAACACTTACAAGTGGCGGGGCACACAACACTTACAAGTGGCGGGGCACACAACATTTACAAGTGGCGGGGCACACAACACTTACAAGTGGCGGGGCACACAACACTTACAAGTGGCGGGGCACACAACACTTACAAGTGGCGGGGCACACAACACTTACAAGTGGCGGGGCCCACACAACACTTACAAGTGGCGGGGCACACAACACTTACAAGTGGCGGGGCACACAACACTTAAAAATGGCGGGGCACACAACACTTAC